ATGAGTGCCTTCCACAAAGTGACAGCTGAGCCGTTGACTCTCTGCACGTGGGCACAGTTACGTCCGTCTTCCGGGCACTGGTCATGCAGTGTCCTGGACAGGGCTGAGGCGTGGCTGGGCTGTCGCAGGGCAGTCCGCCCACAGCAGGCAGCCAGGGCAGAGAAGAAGGCCGCCGAGCCCTACGGCTTGAAACTTGCATGTGTCTATAAAATGGTCACGGGGCCTCTTGTTAAGTGTTCTAAGAGTAGGAACCAAATGAGACTTTAAGTGGATGACTTTAGGAGAAAGATTTACATTTTAAGGAGAAACGGGCGGGTTTCAGGGAGCCCCCTTGGCAGCAGCTCCCGTTAGTGTAGGATTGTGCTCACGGTGCCGCTCCACCCGAAATCGTCCTCTCACTCCCAGCATGGGCGACACCTGGGCAGTGCGGTTGTTAGAAAAGGCTCAACATGGAGGGTGAGGAGAGTATGGTTTGAAATTCCCTGACTTTTTTCAGAATCATGTCAGAGTAAACTGGCACCTAAGCTTTGGGTAGCAGAGCTGCCCGTCGGTTATGCTGCCCGAGTGGCAGGGCGTCCTCAGCTGCCGGTGGAGGCTTTCCTTCTCCGCCCCTGAAAACACACACAGAGCCCTGTGTGTCGAGGCGCCGAGCCCAGCTCTAATGGATCATCGCTCCTTTTGGGAATGTGCGTCCCTTCGGGGAAAGAAACAGAATAATTCTCTTTCGAGTCCAGCAGTTTCAGCATTCAGTGAAAAAAGGTAGTTTCCCAGAAATTGCAGTGACACAGACTAGAATACTATGTTAATCTACTGTCTATACGAGTGCATCATAGTCCCTCACACGTTTATATGTCTTATAAATAGAACTTTGGTGAAATGTGCTGTCGCACCGAGTCACTCAGCAAGATTTCCTCGAGGAAGTGTAAGGCACGGCACTTGGCAGCCAGGTGTCAGGGCCGCCCCAGCAGCGAGCTCCCTGCCCCGGAGTCCACGCCGCGCCGTCCAGGATTTCTTCACGTTGCACAGATGCAGTTAGCTTTGGAGGGAGGGCTGCGTCCCGACGTCTGTGGACCACATCATGGGACACGATGAAGCCTGCGCCGTGGCTGCCAATCGAGCTGCAGCAGTGAGTGGAGGAGACCGGGGCACAGCTGTTAGAAGGTGGTCGTTTCACACCAGGAAGCGGGTGGTAGCCCAGGCCCAGGTCCCGAACGGCTTTGAGAGATGGAGTTTGGACATGGGACCTGCCCACCGGGAAGGAAGACAACTTTACCTTCAGGGCAGCCTCATTGCGGACGCCTTATTTATATGATTAGTGACGCTGTTTTAAGTGTTATGCCTTTATTGTATTTTATTTATAAAAATGCCTTTATATGTGGAGATATATAAATATAAATATAACTATATATATAATTGCCTGTATGTTTAAGAGTTCTGAGTTCTCCCTGGCCATGAGCTGTTCTGAACTGTCGTGCCCCGCACAGTCCCCAAAGCTAGTTCTGCCTGGTGTCACTTCTCCGGGAAGCCCAGGGACACGGCCCACGGCGGGAGGTGGCATCCACATCTGTGGGCACTGGGCACCAGGCTGGAGCTCATTACTGCTGTCTCACCACCCTCACAGCAAACCCACAAAGTAGGTGTTGAAGCCCACAGACCTCGCAGTGAGCCGCAGCGCCCGCACATGAGCTCGGCTGAGGTGGAGCCGCAACCCGAGCTCCTTCCACTTTTCCATGCCGCGTTCCAAAGCATTGTGGTTCCCTCATCAATGGAACCCGTCCAATCCACGTGCTCCCGACCGCCTGAGCCGCCTGCAGCCTGGGAAGCTGCCTCTGCCCACGTGGGGTGTGGGGCCCAGCTCCCAGAGTCCACTCTCTCCCTCTGATTCCCCCACCCCCCATCTCCCCTGTCTCCCACCAGAATCTGATCTTCGCTTGGCTTAGTGACACTGTAGTTGCTCAGGCGTCTTCCTGTTCCTTCGCCTTAGAATTCTCTGTGATTCTTTGTTTTAGCATTAAACTTCCCATTTCTGTTACATCATTTCACTCTCTCCTTTTCCCCCCTTCTCTCGATCAGGCACTGGTAGTCTGGTGACAGGTGACAGGCTGGTGGTGTACGGGCTGTAAGTTAAACTACAGGTGACAGGCTGGTGGTGTACGGGCTGTAAGTTAAACTGCAAGGTTTTGAACCTTGTGACGTCGTCTTTTCAAACATTTCTCCCCGCCTGTTGTTTCTGTTGAACGAGTCTGGAGGCCGGAGCGTCCGGAACAGCGAGCGGATCGTGTCTGTGCCGGACCTCCTTCCAGCTGCGGAGCTAAGAGGTTCCCGTGGTGGGACCCACCTGTGTTGCTGTCTTTAAAGCATTGACTTGGAGGTGCCTGTGTTTGTATCCTGTTGGAAAGTATGTTCTGTTTCCCTGAAAAGCTGTAACAGCCTGTCTGAGATTGTACATATTTTAAAGGATGTAGCTTGGACAGGTTCTATTGGTGGATATGATTTTATATTAAAAGAGAATGCTGCTTCCATGGAGACCGCGGTGCAGGGGCCTCAGCTGCTCCCTGTGTGTATAAAGCTGCTGTAGCTGTGATTGCGGGGGGTGGGGGGGTTCTTGCTCTGAAATTCTTTGCAGCCTCCACCCTGCCCTCCCTGGAACCACCACCCACCCCTGCACAGGCCCAAGAGCCCAGTGAGGTCACCCCTTCTGTTCTGAAGGAACGGGATCTAGGACAAATGGGGCGGGAGAAGCTGTGTGGAGGCAGGCAGGCCCCCCTAGGGGACGCAGTGTTCCTTCCCAAGGCAGGGCGGAGGGTGGGAGGGGAGCATGAGGAGGGGGAAGCAGGGTGGAGGGTGGGAGAGGGGCA